TTGGGGGGGGGTGGGGGGCCCCCCCCGGCCCCGCGTTCCCCCGCAGCGCGGCCGAATGCAGCACAGCGTTGGAGAAGGGGGTTGTAAGCGCAGCCCCCCAGCCCGAGGCCGCGGGACGGACCTGAACCAGCTCCACCACCGAGAAGCTGCCGTTCTGCGCTCCCTCCCCAGAGAATTCCCTCGGGAATTAGAGCCCGCGGTGGTTCCGCGGTGCTGTGTCCTCCACGGAGCGAGGAAGCTGTGGGAAGGGGTAGAAGCAAACGGGAGACAGCAATGCTGCGGCGCTGATCCCCGGAGCAGACGTCGGTGCAGAAAGGAAAGCGGCACCGGGCAGAGCTGAAGCCCAAACCACCCTCACCGTCACTGGCCAGAGCCCACGCGCGGAAGACACGGAGGATTGTAAAGCCTGTCACCCCCGCTGGGGCCTGTCCACTGCGAAGAGGAACCGTTCCCCCACCTCACAGAATTACCGTCTGCTAGCGCTGACGACGGGGTAGGTGCTGCGGTACAATTTTATACCGAGCGGCAGCAGACTGGAAACGGAGCCTGGCTCACGAGGGGCAGGGCAGCTCACAGCGGTGCTTCTGCCCGTTTCCTAGTTCCGAGGGGTCACTCGCTGCCAGGGCTCCTGTTCTCTCCAGGTGGGATCAAGTGGGAAGTGCCGGGGCCGCAGAGGTCAGCGGGGCAGCAAGAAAGGAAGGGGTCGTTCATCTGCTCCAGCTGCTCCCGTTCCTTCCTCTGCGTCTGCTGGGAGCAGGGCGGTTGATCAGATTCCTGCGTCCGCGTCCGTTTGCGCCCGGAGCACAGCCCGGACTCAGCCTCTGGCAGCTCACCGTCCCCTGCCTCCACTCACAGGAAGGGCCCCGGGATCGATCATCTCCAACAGCCCCCCATGGATGAAAGAAGGAAACAAATAAAATGCAAAACATTTATTCGAGTGTGTTGTACAAAAAGTTTCCAGTCATAAAATGTATATTACAAATCATTGAAAAAGACAAGACATTTGGCATGCATATTCTAAAAAGAAAAAAAAAAAACACTTTGAAATGATAAAGTCTAGATCATTACATATTTTTTGTAACTTTCAAGTGAACATTTTCATCATTTTGTCTTCGCATTTCAATTTGTAATCTTTTTCACAATTCCTTAATTTAAAAACCTGACCCTTCCAGACACTCATCTGCAGCAGCTGACCAGAGGTGGTCAGTCAAACTGACCAGTGACCTAGAACCAGAGCTATCTAAATAGAGTGTGTTTAAAAAAAAAAATTTTGAAAAAAAAAAAAAAAATAAAAATCACAATCCAAGTCACAAGGCATCACTGCTGAAAACAGAGTTCAACTGAGAAGGTACTATTGTGCCCAAATGGAAAGCATTTTGGCTTGAACTTGTTTAAAATAGCTTATTGCTTGTCATTTTAGTGTAACGATGATCTGGGTAGCTGGAATACAAAATAACATCTACCTTACCAACACGGAATCATCACTTCATTAAAAGCTACCTAGAAAATTTGCAAGTTCAATAAAACACATTTTATCTTCCTGAACTTGTCAATTCGCTGCTTGTGCTGTACTGAGCAATGGCTTTCAATATTAAGCATCCTTTTCACGCTCTAGACCTTAGCATTTCAAGAAAGGCATTAGGTTTACAAATAATAATTGCATGTAAATATGGTCTTGTATAAAAAACCAAACCCTTTAAATTATTTTAAACTGGTTTAAAGCTAAGCATATTAAAGGGAAAATAAAAATTCTGTTTCCCAGGCCATTTTAAGTGAGAAAAGAAACTCTCCAATATAATTTGTCTTCACATTCAGTTAAAACAATGCTTTGAAAAATGCAATCACCGTCTCACCTTCCACTCACTGGTTTACAACAAGGCTTTATTTCC